TTAATTGCAGAAATCGGGCAGTGGTGGCTTAATGGTTAGGGTAGCGCACTTGTAATTGAAGGATTGCAGATTCGAATCCCTGACCAGCAAGGCACCACTGAGGTACCCTGAGCAAGGTACTGCCCCTGGGCGCTGAATTAGCTGCCCCCTGCTATGTCACATTGGCACATATTGGTTAAATGCAGAGAACACATTTTATTGTTGTGCGCTGTGGTATGTCAACAATAACAATTGTTCACTTAAAAAAAAGAGGTGTATGAACACATAAAGAGTATTGCAGTACAGAACAGTCAGCTCTCATGCAAAGAACCAACACTTGCATCCATCTATCCACCCACCCATTTTCTGGACCCATTACTTATTTGTGACTGAGGGAATCCTACTGAGACAAACACCAACTAAACACAGTACAGCTGTAGGAGTATAGGGACCTAAAGTATCTTTGCCCTCATCAGTTTCCCATGATCCTGCCATTCATTGAAATGCCCAACACCGTACTCTGTCCCCCACCCAGCGGCTGGCGAGGGGTCTATTCCCGCACCTTTGGTTCCCAGAGTGATGAAGTTGCTCGCTCGTACATGGGGGCCATAGGGTGGCTCGATTAGGTGCCCCGCCCCCGGGTAGGAGAGCTTGGTGAACAGATGGCTCTTCCCGGCCTCCTCCATCATTCTCTCCATCTGAGCAGGAAGCGGTCAGAGGTCAGCATCATGCTCTGTGAGCGCGGTTAGTGGCGGGAGGGGCATGGACACTCACATCCTCTGCGGATTCGGATGCTGGCCAGTTCTGATCATCTTCTCCCACGATGAACAGCACAGGACACCGAATCCGCCCAACCTGACAGTAATAATTTAGGTAATTACTCCAAAACGTAGTCATAATGTCATGAACTCGCAAGTTTCTCTCACAAGGGTGGGGCATGGTGCAGTCAGGAAGGAAGGTGGACGACCCACTTGTGGCTCACAGGATGTACGGGATTTATTAACAAAACAGAAAACACTAGAAACACACACAAAAACAGGGAGGGTGCAGGGCAACGAGCAATCAGGTAAACACACAAGGGCAGGCAACAGGTGAAACTAATAATTAACTTTAACCTAAGAACTGACAAAGAAACAAGGAAACACCAAAACACAAAAAGACCAGCTTTCAAACAATGGAGTTTCTATATTTATTTGCTTAACCAAACACTTTCTTTTATAATCTGAAACAACACATCAATGTTACATTCACATCTGTACCTTTCTCAAGGTAAAACAGCAATTCCTCTTTTGGGATTTTAGCCAATGGCCTTCTGATGTGGAAATCCAGATCCTCACTGTCTACTGCACTGACTGCTTACATCCCTCAACACTGTGTGTGATCTGCAATTACATGATGTGCCTGGTGCAACACATACGTTCAGTAACTGACTGAACACGTGCCACGACAGCTTAGTGTTAAGTCAGTGAACACGTGACAGTGCCTTAATGTTAAGGAACTGAACACATGCCAGGATGCCTTAGTGTTCAACAGCTGAACACATGACAGAAATCATTAGCATTAAGCTGCTGAACACAG